TCTCCCAGCACCATGTGGTCCAGCAGCCCATCCAGCCCCAGCCTCACCAGCCGCTGCCGCACCCGGGAGCGCAGCCGCAGCTCGGCGCTCTGAAGCTGGCTCCGGCAGAGGACACGAAACCAAACGAGCAGAAGAAGAGGCCTGGAGGGTGAGTGCACCTCGTGTGTGGAGGCTGCTGAGCGGGACCAGGCAGAAACGATACCGAAAGCTGCGTCAACCTGCAGCAGCTGCTGCTTTTGCAGAGTTGCCAGATCGGAAACACCAAGAGCCGTGGATGTTTGGTGGATGTCTGTCTGGGGTTTTGATAGCAGAGTTTCTTAGCTTGGTGTTTTTCATTTTGCTCCCTGACTACACACTGTAGGATTCTGTACAAGGATTTTTTTCCAAGCCGGGACTGTGTTAGGAAGCAAGTCCCAGTGCTGCCCGGCTGATCTTGGGTGGCATCTGGTATTACCTCTGGCGAAAGATCTCTGCTTATACTGGTCAGGGAATCGAGCAGCAGGTTGCTTGCAGGAACTTTGTTGAAATCTGGGATGTGATCGGGGAGGTTCTGTTTCCCGGGTCAGAGATCACCTTGGCTGCTGTTCCCTGTTCTTCGGGCTGTAAGTGCTGAGGGCCTCCTGCTTGCTCAGAGCTCCCGCAGCGGGAAGGGACTGGAGGCCGTTCGGTCTGTCCGCACCCCCGGACGGGCCTTGTGGCTCTGATGTTGCTCCAGGTTAGTGTTTGTCTGACTTGTTCTTGAGGACTTTGGCTCCAGATTCTGTCTTCTCCTTAGGCGGTTGTTTCCAGACCACGGTATCCTAATGCGTAGTCTGGCGTTATTTCTTGTGGACCTGGGAGAACAAATCGTTCCCTTCTTTGCAGCAAGCTGCTACCTGTTTCCCTTGGCCCCTCAGTCTTCCTTCCTGCAGGATAAATGACCTGGATCTGTTCGGTCTTTTCTGCCAGGCCATGCTGTCCTGCCCTCTGACCGTTCTCCCCGCCGCCTGCAGCTGGCAGATCCCTCTTTGCGGCGGTGTTCGGAACGGCGTGCTGCTCCCGCGGAGCCTGGGCGGAAAGTCGCTCTCTGCTTTGCCAGTTCAGTGCCCCAAAGCAAATGCACCCCAGGTTTCAGGGAGGGTGGGGATCCGCTCGGGAGGTCAGAGGAGATGCTGCTGGACGGAATGCCAGCGTGGCGGCCGCAGCCTTGTCCCACTCCAGGCCGGCGCAGGCTGCTGCGCAGAGACGGACCCGGCGGAGCTGGGGCCCTGCCAGTCGCTCCGTCCACCCGGCTTGAGCGAGTGCCGGCAGAAGAGACAGACAGAACGCGGTCCTTGCCGGGCGAGCGACCTGCTCGGGGAGACGTCTCAGCCAGGCCAAAATCTGGCCTTGCCGTTTGCTCACTCCTGGACGGAGCTCGGTGTTTTGAATGTGTCGGCAGGGCAGGAGGTGGCAGCTGGCTTCCTTTCCCCCAGGTCCTCGGGTCCTTACGGCGTTGGCTCCGAGCTGTCATGCCGAACTGCCGTGACCCAGCTGTGAGCGGAGCAGCAGCCGGGGCTGTGGTTGGCACTGCCCTTCCCTGGCGACGGCCTCCGTGCAAGGAGTGGTAGCTTCAGTATCATTGTGGGAGCAGGAAGAGATGTACGATGGAGTGGACAAAGAAAGGATTCCTCGTGTCCTTTGGCATGTGGAGATTCCAAAACGCACAGAAGGAAACAGCGAAAGTAGTGTAGAGAAGAATTTGTGAAGATAATGGCCTTTGTAAAATGCCAGTGTAATTCCTTTAAGACAGGTTGTGATCGTTAGAGCTTGTCTGCAAAACGCTCCGCTGCAGAAACCAGGAGTGTATTTGTGCTTTGATCAAGCGAACGTGTCACTGACGCTGCTGCGTGGGTTCGGAGGGGTGTGGAGGGGCTTTCTGGTGGCCCGTGGGTACCAGCGGCCGGGGCGGGGGGGGGGGGGCCCCC